GCCCCACCCCAGAGGCGGTTGCATCTCAGCACTGGGCGAGGGATCCCACTATGCTGGCTGTGTAGAGTTGCTGGGGAACAGCTGCATCCCCCTGCGAGTGCTGCTACCACTCCCTGTTAATGAGGCATCATGGATAGGAAATGGCAGGGTGTTTTCCATGGAGACCTGCTGGGGGGAGGAGCAGGCTCTGGCTGGGCTGTGCGTAACCAAGGGCCTTTCACAGCAAAGGCAGAGGGGCTGGGGGAGCCGGAGCGGGGGAGGCTGCATTGAGCTGGCACAGCTGGCGTGTTCCCAGCTCCCAGTCGAACCCTTTCAGACCAAGGGGAGCCCTTTATTAACAGCATGTGAGGTTACTCCTCTGCCCACACAAATGCGGTCACCTCTGGGGCAGAGCATATCAGCCAGGAAACTGCCACATAGTAACACTGCAGAGGACAGCCGATCCTGCCCCCGGGGGAGGCAGACCTAGTTCACCTGCTCGCCGAACTGAGACTGGGAGGAAAGAACCCACTACCCAGCTCCCTGCAGCACAGCCCCCTAGTGCTGCAGTGGGGGCCAGCCCTGACTGCCAGGGGCCAGCACCCTGCTGTCCCCGCCCGCTCCCTGCAGCAAAGGCCCCTAGCGCCGCCCTGGGGCAATGGGGCCAGCCCTGGCTGCCTGGGGAGAGCCCCCTGCTGCCCCTGCCCCACTCCCTGCAGCACAGCCCCTAGCGCCGCCCTGGGGCAATGGGGCAACCCTGACTGCCCAGGGAGAGACCCTGCTGCCCCCGCCCCACACCCTGCAGCACAGGCCCCTAGTGCCGCTGTGAGGCCAGCACTAACTGAGAGGGTCGAGTGACCCCTGATGAATTACCTCAACCCCCAACACCTCCACTGAGCCCCCCACCCATGGGATCATACCCCCACTGAGACCTCCCACCCATGGGTGCATACCCCCAACACCCCCACTGAGCCCCCCACCCATGGGATCATACCTCCACTGAGCCCCCACCCATGGGATCATACCCCCAACACCTCCACTGAGCCCCCACCCATGGGATCATACCCCCACTGAGCCCCCCACCCATAGGTGCATACCCCCAACACCTCCACTGAGCCTCCCCACCCTTAGTGTATGCCCCCAACACCTCCACTGAGCCCCCCCGGGAGTATATCCCCCACACACACATGCCCAGCCCCCCCGGATTACACACCAACCCTGAGAGCCTCCAGCCTGGGGATCATATCCTTGCCCTGTCTCCCACCCCTGTCAATACGCCCTGATGCAATTCTGCCTTCTCTCATACCCCCGCTCTCCCGGCCTCCTCGCCTGTGTATTAATGAGCTGACCTGTCCCACTCTCGTTACTGCAGTGCTGGGGGAAGCAGGGAGCCTCGGCCCTGGGCAACAGCTGCTGGGGCTGAGGACAGGTTGTGTGGAGTCTGGCCCAGGGTTGAAGCCAGCTGGCCTGACCAGAACTAGGCTGAGTCCCCTCAAACTTGTAACACATAGTGGGGAGCAGGCAGGGGTGGTGCTCGCACCCAGCTGGCCAATGACGGAGGTGAAAGGGGGCAGGTTCAGGGTGTTTTATCTGTTCCTCTAGTAGGTTACAGCGGTGGGGAGTCAGGCCTGCGGGATTCTATCCCTCGCTCTGGGAGGGCAGTGTGGGGGCTGGGAGGCATGTTGGGGGTGTCTGTGCACATTGGGGGGTCACAGTGCGGGTCTCTGTGTGGTGCTGGGAGTGAGTAAAGTTGGGGCACTGGGCTGTCTCTCTCTCCGCATGGTGCTTGTGATCCTGCGCATACCATGAGACTCCTGCACCTCCATCAGCGATGTAGTGGCCACAGATACCGAGCCGAATTGGGGGGCTCCCCCACTTCCCACCAGCGCCTGCTTCTCTGAGTGTGGGGAGTGAGGCCCTAGCCGAACTCCCATCACCACCCCTGGGGACACTCCCCCGTTCTCTGGTGACCTCATACAAGAGGGGAAGCCGCATGCAGCTATAGAGCATAGAGAGAACCCAGGCACCTTGATTCCCAGTTTCCCCCCTCCCCTGCCCCCGAATGCAGGAGGCCTGGCTGCCAGACTCCCATATGGCTGGGGTGTCTCTGCTTTGATGCTGGCAGAAGATGTGCTGCCCCCAGCTATCACATGCAGCTTGCTCCCAATATCTGGGTTTCCAAGGCTGCGGGGTGGGCTCATCCTCTCCCCCAGTCAGTCCCCCTCATTGAGGCTGGATTAAAGCCGATGCCCCCTAGAGGGGACAGGCCCCGTGCCCCATGCCCCACCCCCTGAGCCAGTCAGTCCCCTCCCCTGGGGCCAGATGGGAGCCAGCACCCCCTAGAGGGGAAAGGCCCCGTGCCCCATTCCCCACCACCTGAGCCAGACAGTCCCCTGCCCTGAGGCTGGATCGGAGCCAGCGTCCCCCAGAGGGGAAAGGCCCTGTGCCCCATTCCCTGCCCCCTGAGCCAGTCAGTACTCTGCCCTGAGACTGGATCAGAGCTGGCATGGCCTGCAGGGCAGAGGCCCCATGTCCTAGTCCTTGAGCTGGGTGTAGTGCTGAGTAGGATGGTGGGATTCCCTTCAGGGTCTTGGTTGTTACCTTTGCAGGGTGGGCAGGGCTGGGGCACCCTGTGGTGGAATTCTGACCCCCCCCCCGCCCCCTCCGCCAGTAACCAGATCTCTCCCCCACACTCTGTATTCAGAACACCACGTGAGCCGCTCGCGGAGGAAGAGCGTCCCTGCAGGGAAGCAATACAGCATCAACATGGACGCGCCCCCGGCACCCCCGTTCCGGCCCTCGGTGAGAGACCTCCCCTGCCCTGACACACATGGAGACGCGCAGTCACCCTCATACTGACACATGGGTCTGCACTCACACGGGCACTTCTATTCACTGATTCACACCCCCCAGACTCACACTCACTGACAAAAGTACTGACGCTCAGAGGCTCTCACAGGTTCGCGTGCGCGCACACACATTCATGCTCACTGCCCCCCAGGCGCGTGGGTTCTCTGAGAGGGTAGTGGAGTTAAGTGGTCAGAGCAGGGGAGCTCTCACTCTCCTCCCAGAGCCGGGGATAGAACCCCTGAGTCCTGGCTCCCACTCCACACACACCCAACCCACTAGCTCCCACTCCCTTCCCAGAGTTGGCACTAAAACCCAGGAGTCCTGGCTCCCTCAATGCCCCCTCAGCATCTCACTCTGTCTATCCCCTACCCACAGCAGGGCTTCCTGAGCCGGCGTTTGAAGAGCTCCATCAAACGGACAAAGAGCCAGCCCAAACTGGACCGGACCAGCAGTTTCCGCCAGATCCTGCCACGGTTCCGGAGTGCTGACCATGACAGGTGAGAGAGCCCCTCTGGTCCATATCCCACCTCATGGCACTGCTGCAGAGAGCAGCATGGGGCTCCAAGGCACAGACTTTGCCCAGCACTGCCAGGAATCACTGCCCTGGTTGGGGCCCCCAGTTCCAGGCACACACAGGGTCAACTCTCTCGTCCTTCCCCATGGGAATGGTTGCCCCACACCAGAGGCAGTTGCATCTTGAGGGATCCCTGTACTAACAGCCCCTGCAACCCACCTCGACAGCAGGCATGTCAGTAGTGACGGGCAGGGAGCTGTGGGGCTTCATTGATAAAACTTTGTTACGACCTCAGGTGACAGGAGAAAGTTGCATGGGGGGATTGTCCCCTCCAGTCCGTTCTCTGCGGGGGGCTGTGCCCTGTCGCACCCCCCGCATCTGGAGTTGCTGGTGTCGCTGTCAGAGGTGTACTTTCCATTTGGGGGTTATGCAGGACTGGGAAAGGGGGAGTTGGGGGGAGGGAAAAGAGGAGGGGGCATTGCGGACAGGAGGCAGCCAACGATGGGAAGGAAGCTGGGGGAAGCAGAGGGAGGAGGAGGGCAAGGAGGAAAGAGAGCAGTGGGAGGCAACTGGGCATTGGGGGGCAGCCAGCCAGGGGGAGTAGGGCATGGGGGGTGAGGCAGCCAGTGGTGGGGTGGGAATGGGGAAGCTGGGAGGGAAGAGGCATCCAGTGGAGGGAATGGTGAAGGGAGTGGTTGAGGGAGGTAACCAGTTGGGAGGAATAGTGGGAAACAGCGGTGGGGGGCAGGAAAGGGGAGTAGCCAGTAAGGGGGGTGGGGGTTGGGGGAGGCAGCCGGTGGGGGGGGCGGGAATGGGGGTGGGGGGAGGCAGCCAGCTGGGGAAGTGGGGCTGGCAGGCGGAAGCGGTGCTGCTGGGTGCCGGGAGCTGTTTATAGCCGGAGATGGTGGGTGGGAGCCAGGAGCAGAAGCCGGATCCGGCTTGGCAGAGATCCCAGCCCTGGCCCGACTCATTCTCTCTGCCTCTCTGGCTGCCGGAGCCTGGCCCGGCCACCCCCCATCCCAGCCCAGGTCCCTGCCCCGCCTGGTGAGTCCTCACTGGCCCAGTGGGGAGAGCAGGGAGCCTGGAAGGCGCAAGCAGGGGGCACAGACACCTGCCTGAGTGGGTGTGGGGACATGGGGGGGCCCCAGGTGCATGTGTATGTGGTGCATGCATGTCTGTGTGTGTGTGTACATTTGTGACATACGTGTGTGTGTGTGTGTGTGCGCGCACGCCTGTGAGAGGTTAAAGCCATGCCAAACTTTTGCTGTATAAGGAGCTTAGTGACTCAGGATTGTGAGATTTTCATGTCAGGATCCAGCAAGATTGACCACAACGGTGGGGTGGGAAGAAAGTAAACCCCCCCAACACACACATGTACACGCACATGCGCACACACACGCACGTGCACACTCATGCACACACTCACACATGCACGTGCACACACTTATGCAGACAGGCACACACCTGCGCGCACACACATGTACATACGCACGCATGCACACACACACATTTTCACACACATGCACATATATGTGCACGCGCCCATGCACGCACATACACACACGCACACACATGTGCACATGCATGTACACACGCACACTCATGCACTCCTAAATGCTGGTTTGTAGAAGCTCAGCTGTAGGCATTAGCTGGGGCAAGGCTCTGGCCTGCATGAAAGCGGGGCGGGGGGCAGGGGCAGACATCACTATATGATCACGATGGTCCCTTCTGGTCGTAGAACTTCTGCATCTTCCACAGCCGGGCGCAGCCCAAGCATGGCTGGCTGGGGACAAACCGAGGTGGGAGGGCTCCCAGAGAAAGGAAGTGGGGTGGGGGCTGCTCTGCCTGTGCCCCAGTGCAGCACTAGGGGATGCTGTGCCGAAGGGTGTGGGGGGCACTCCCTTCAGCGTCAGGGCTGGCCCCAGTTGGGGATGCTGTGCTCCAAGGCGGGGAAGGAAACACACGGGGCGTGGGCCCCAGTGTCCTGGCCACATTCGGGCACCAAAGAGTCCCTAGAGCCTCACTGGGGTATTGCTTGGGTACAAGGTTCTCCTGAACATCCAGTTTCACACTCCTGTCCGGTCTGTATAGTCCCGTCACCCCAGCCAAGAGGTGGCTGCAAGTCAGTATTTGTGTGACGTATAATGTCTATAGGGCAGTGCAGGCTCTCTGTGTATAGGAGGGGCAGGCATGTGGATGGAGGCTGTATGGGGGCATGGGGGGGCAAAGTGGGGAGTGCCTGTGATCTGCCCCCTCTTTGTAGACACAGCTGGGAGGAGTGCAGCTGTCTTGGTATCTGGACTCCTGGCTCCCCCACAGGTTTGGGATCCCCCACCCCTATCCTGTCCCCATAGCCCAGTTGCCTCCCGTCTGGCCCTCCCCCAGTGTCCTCAGCAGCCCCTCAACCCCACTTGGGCTCCCCATTCGCATCCCCTGTCCCCTCCCCAGCCTGGGCTTCTTCCTTTCCTACGTCTCTGGCTCTTCTCCCCCCAACCTGGGCTTCCCCCTCCTTGTACTCCCTGCCTGCCCCCCCCAGGCTCCCCCACTTCAAACTGGGTTTCTCCCCTTTCCTGTCCCCCACCTGGGTTCCCCCGGGCCTGCTCCAGGGCTCCCCTCCCCAGGCCCCTGCTCTTAGGGTGACCAGATGTCCCAATTTTATAGGGACAGTCCCAATATTTGGGGCTTTTTCTTATATAGGCTCCTATTACCCCCCACCCCCGTCCCGATTTTTCACATTTGCTGTCTGGTCACCCTACCTGCTCTGCCTGGCACCCCAGGCCCACTGCCGACACATCCCTGCCTGGCCGGGTGAGTATTTTTAGCGGCGCCCGCCCCCACTCTGCTCCAGTGACGGCAGAGCCGAGCCCAGCCGAGCTCTGAGTCGCTGCCTCCCGGAGACGCAGGGGCCTCTCTGCTTACGCAGCCCAGTCGCTAAAAATAACCTGCTGGGGGCGGCCACTCACCTGTGCCAGCTGGGGGCTGCTTTGTGTGTCCTCGCCAGCATGGGGCATCCTCAGGGAACCGGGAGCCAGGACTCCTGGGTTCTATCCCTGGCTTGGGGAATCCAGGGGGGGCTGGAAACCAGAACTCCTGGTTTCTATCTCTGGCTGGGAGGATCGGGGGGGGGGGGGGTGGGGATCTAGTGGGTTGGGGGGGCTGGGAGCCAGGACTCCTGGGTTCCATCCCCAGCTCAGGGAGGGCTGTGGGGTTTAGCAGGTTGGGGTGGGGGGGGTTCTATCCCCAGCTGGGATGGGGGAGAGGTTGGAGTCTAGTGGGTTTGTGGCAGGGTTCAGGAGCCAGGATGCCTGGGTTCTACACCCAGCTCGAGGAGGGGCATGGGGTCTAGCGGATTTTGGGGCGGGGACTGGAAGCCAGGACTCCTGTGTTCTATCTTTGGCTTTTGCCAGAGACTAGAGTGATTTTGCAGGCGGGGAGGGTAAATCCCTTTCCCCTCTGTGTCTCAGTTTCCTGCTCTGTAACAGGGGGGTAATGGTGCTGACCCTCTGTCCCTGTTCTAATGTGGCCTGGTGTCTATGAAAATGCCATGTGATTTACCTGTGGGTTGCAGCCTCCCAGGGTGACCCCCAGGGACCCTGCATGGGGCCCTCCTCCCCACTCAGTTAATTTGTGCATGTCTCTGACTCTCTCTCTCTCTCTTTCTCTCTCTCGTTCTGCGGTCCAGACCCCCCGGCAGTGCAGAATTGTCTATAGGGGCCCCTCCCATGGCCAGCTGCTGAATCCCCCAGGTACCCCCCGTCCCGGGCACCAGCTGTCTGTGTGGTCTCACCAGTGCCATGGCCACAGCTAGGGCATGTTCTGCACACACCCCGGGAGGCTGTAGGACCCCCTGCCCCCATAGCTTGGCTGCCCACACGCCCCCCTCAGCGGCTCCAGAGCCCATGTCTCAGTTGTCTCCCCCTCCCTCTCCCCTGTCCCATGCTTGTGTCATGGCACCAGATTCACTGTGTTTGACCCCGCTGCACTGGACTCACTCCAATGACACGAGACACGGGGCCCCGCAAGCCCCCCGTCTCACCAGCTCCCCTCCCCCGCAGAGCCCGCCTCATGCAGAGCTTCAAGGAGTCGCACTCCCACGAGTCCCTGCTGAGCCCCAGCAGCGCAGCTGAGGCCCTGGAGCTCAACCTGGATGAGGACTCCATCATCAAACCCGTGCACAGCAGCATCCTGGGCCAGGAGTTTTGCTTCGAGGTACGGCAGCCCAGCCCAGAGCGCTAGCACCTGCAAGGGAGCTGGGCCCGGGTGCTGGGAGCCAGGACTCCTGGGTTCTGTCCCCAGCTCTGGGAGGGGAGCGGGGTCCAGTGGGTTAGAGCAGGGGGAGCTGGGAGACAGGACTCCTGGGTTCTGTCCCCAGCTCTGGGAGGGGAGTGGGGTCCAGTGGGTTAGAGCAGGGGGAGCTGGGAGACAGGACTCCTGGGTTCTGTCCCCAGCTCTGGGAGGGGAGTGGGGTCCGGTGGGTTAGAACAGGGGGGCTGGAAGCCTGGACTCCGGGGTTCTGTCCCTGGCTCTGGGAGGGGAGTGGGGTCCAGTGGGTTAGAGCAGGGGGAGCTGGAAGCCTGGACTCCGGGGTTCTATCCCAGCACTGGGAGGGGCGTGGGGTCTGGTGGGTTTGAACTCAGGGGCTGGGAGCCAGGACTCCTGCGTTCTCGCCCCAGCACTGGAAGGGGAGTGGGGTCTGGGGGGTTTGAACTCAGGGGCTGGGAGCCAGGACTCCTGGGTTCTCTCCCCAGCTCTGAAAGGGGAGTGGGGTCCAGGGGGTTTGAACTCAGGGGCTGGGAGCCAGGACTCCTGGGTTCTCGCCCCAGCACTGGAAGGGGAGGGAGGTGTATGGCTGGGCACCCCGGTCAGGGAGTGTGCAAGTACATGTGGCCCTGCTCAGCTGCTCCTCATTCTCTCTTCCTCAGGTCACCACTGCGTCCGGCACCAAGTGCTTTGCTTGCCGCTCAGCTGCAGAGCGCGACAAGTGGATCGAGAACTTGCAGCGAGCCGTGAAACCCAACAAGGTGCTGTAGAGGAGGGAAGCTGGGGGGCAGGGGAGCCCCAGAGGAAAGAGGGTGGATACTGGCTGACAGGAGAGCTAAAGGGCAGGAGGCTGGTTCCAGCCCCCCACAGCTGTGCACATGTGTCCCTCTCTCCCCACATGTTCGCCTGCTGCCTTACTCCTCAGGAGTTGTGTCCCCCTGCCCAGAGCTACTGTTACAGCCCCAATTTACCACAGAGCACACGCAGCTCCCCATAGCACCAAACCCCCTGCCTGCGTCCGATAGCACCGACCCACACACCCCATAGCACCGACCCCTGCCTGCGTCCCATAGCATCGACCGATCCACCTGCCTGTTCCCGTTCCTACACCCCATAGCACCGACCCCTGCCTACATCCTCATCCCCCCAATTTGCCTGCAACCGACCTCCCTATGCTCCATAGCACTGACCCCCATCTAACCCCCTGTGCCCCCCAGGATAACAGCCAACACCCCCGCCATATCTAGCACCCTGTGCCCCCAGGATAATAGCCAGCACCCCCGCCACATCTAACCCCCTGTGCCCCCAAGATAACAGCCAGCCCCCCCACCACATCTAACCCCCTGTGCCCCCGAGGATAACACCCCTCCAACCCCCCTGTGCCCCCCAGGATAACAGCCCGCCCAACCCTCCCATCTAACCCCCTGTGCCCCCCAGGATAACAGCCAGCACCCCCCCATCTAACCCCCTGTGCCCCCTCAAGTTAATAGCCAGCCCCCCGCCACATCTAACCCCCTGTGCCCCCGAGGATAACAGCCCCCCAACCCCTTGTGCCCCCCAGGATAACAGCCAGCACCCCTGACACATCTAACCCCCTGTGCCTCCTCAAGATAACAGCCAGCACCTCCCCCATCTAACCCCCTGTGCCCCCCAGGATAACAGCCCCCCCAACCCCCTGTGCCCCCCAGGATAACAGCCGGCGGGTGGACAATGTGCTGAAGCTGTGGATCATTGAGGCGCGGGAGCTGCCGCCCAAGAAGCGCTATTACTGCGAGCTGTGCCTGGACGACATGCTTTACGCCCGCACCACCAGCAAGATGCGCACGGACAATGTCTTCTGGGGCGAGCACTTCGAGTTCAACAACCTGCCAGCCGTGCGCACCATCCGCCTTCACGTCTACAAGGACACGGACAAGAAGCGCAAGAAGGACAAGAGCAACTACGTGGGCATGGTCAGCATCCCCATCGCCAGCGTCACCGGGCGCCACTTCGCCGAGCAGTGGTACCCACTCAGCCAGCCCAGCACCAGCAAGAGCAAGGCCGGCTGCCCTGCCGTGCGCGTCAAGAGCCGCTTCCAGACCATGAGCATCCTACCCATGGAGCTGTACAAGGAGTTTGCTGAGTACGTGACCAACAACTACCGCATGCTGTGCGCCGTGCTGGAGCCGGTCCTGAGCGTCAAGAGCAAGGAGGAAGTGGCCTGCGCGCTGGTGCACATCCTGCAGAGCACTGGCAAAGCCAAGGTACCAGGAGAGTGGGAGGGACGGTGGCAGAGTTGGAGGACAAAGTGCCCTCTGAATTGTCTGCCTCTCAGGTCCTTCTGGGCACGGGGTGGGGAGGTTTGGGGTGTTGAGTCTCCTCGCTCACTCCCCCGCCCGGGACTAACCCCTGCAGGATTTCCTCTCGGACATGGCCATGACGGAAGTGGATCGGTTCATGGACCGGGAGCACCTGATATTCCGGGAGAACACCCTGGCCACGAAAGCCATAGAGGAGTATCTGAAACTCATTGGCCAGAAATACCTCAAGGACGCCATCGGTGAGTGAGGGAGGGGGAGGGGTTTGCTTGCACTCGCGGGTGTGGGTGCGCACACACACATGCACTGTGGGTGAGTCTGGGTCCTATGCGTGTGAAGGGGGGCATGTGCCCTGCTCCCTGGGAGGCACGTGGGTCTGTGCACCATGCCTGCAGGGATCTGTATGCCCAGAGAGTGGGATCTGTGCTCTGGGGTTTAGGGGCGTTAGCCCTGTACTCAGCCTGGCGATGGGGTGTGATCCCCAATTGAACAGCTGGTCCTGGCACTGAGATACACCTGAGTTGGCATCTCACTCCATCTGGTCTGTGGAGAGGCTGGTGGAGCACCCCCTCCCCAGCTTCAGGCCCCTGACGGTTAGGACGGAGTGTGCAGGGTGGTAGGAGCTGGTTCCTGGGGCAGTGTCCAGCCTGGCACCCCCCTCCCTGCCCCACTAGCTCTCTGCCCTCTATTCCTGCAGGCGAGTTCATCCGGGCGCTCTACGAGTCAGAGGAGAACTGCGAGGTCGACCCCATGAAATGCTCCTCGTCCACCCTGCCTGACCACCAGGCCAACCTGCGTATGTGCTGTGAGCTGGCGCTCTGCAAGGTCGTCAATTCGCACTGGTGGGTGCCAGCTGGCAGGGGGATGGGGGCATGTCCAGGGACAGGGAGTGAGCAGGTGCTGTGCAGGGTTAGCAGTGCAATTGTGCAGCACGGTGTGGGGGGATTTGAGGGAATGGGTGGAGGGAGGAGGTGTTGAGGGCACTGAGAGTTCAGGCAGGAGCTGAGAAAGGTCTGTGCCCTATGGTGAGGTGTATGGGGGACTCCGGAGCTCACCGATGTCCCTGCCACCCCTGCACTCTGTTCCCATGGGAGCTGAAGGCCATCAGTGCCCTGTGGAGGGGGGTGGGCTCAGGGCTGTGTGTGGGTCATTGATGATCCCTCTGCCCTCCCCACAGCGTGTTCCCGCAGGAGCTGAAGGAGGTCTGTGCCCTGTGGGGGGTGCATGGGCTCTGTGGGGGGCACAAGGGCTCTGGGGGCATATGGTCTCAGGAGGCCTGGGGGTCACTGATGGCCCTTCTGCCCTCCCGACAGCGTGTTCCCGCGGGAGCTAAAGGAGGTGTTTGCCTCGTGGCGGCTGCGCTGTGCTGAGAGGGGCCGCGAGGACATCGCTGACCGGCTGATCAGTGCCTCACTCTTCTTGCGCTTCCTGTGCCCGGCGGTCATGTCGCCCAGCCTCTTTGGGCTCATGCAGGAGTACCCGGACGAGCAGACGTCCCGCACGCTGACCCTCATCGCCAAAGTCATCCAGAACCTGGCCAACTTCAGCAAGTGAGAGATGCACCATGGGCCAGGGCATCAGGGTGGGACTTCCCGCGTGTGGGGAATGTTTTCTTTGGGTGGGGCTTCTTAGGGTGCTACATCCCGCTGACTCAAGAAGCCTCCCCGCCCTTGGCAGGTTTCAGCCGCACAAAGGAGTATGTGTCATTCAGAGATGAGTTCCTGGAGGGGTCTGCGCATGTATGGGGCTGTATGTAGGGGGTGCTGTACTCCATGGACCCCTCTGCCCGCTGGCAGCGTCAGCAGCAAGGAGTACATGGTGTTCATGAACGAGTTCCTGGGTGGGAGTGGGCCAGCATGGGAGGGGGCCTGGGTGTTGTATGGGGGGTGCTGTAGCCCACTGACTCCCCCCCAAAACCCTACACCAGGTTCGGCAGCAAGGAGGAGTACATGGCATTCATGAACGAGTTCCTGGAGCTGGAGTGGGCCAGCATGCAGCAGTTCCTCTATGAGATCTCAAACCTCGACACCCTGACCAACAGCAGCAGCTTTGAGGGCTACATCGACCTGGGCCGCGAGCTCTCCACGCTGCATGCTCTGCTCTGGGAGGTCATGCCCCAGCTCAGCAAGGTACAGAGACCTCGGACATGGGGCTAGGAGCCAGGACTCCTGGGTTCTCTCCTGGCTCTGGGAGGGGAGTGGGGGATGAAAGCCAGAACTCCTGGGTTCTCTCCTGGCCCTGGGAGGGGAGTGGGGACTAGTGCGTTAGAGCAAGGGGGCTGGGAGCCAGGACTCCTGGGTTCTCTCCTGGCTCTGGGAGGGGAGTGGGGGCTGGTGGGTTAGAGCAGGGGGCTGGGAGCCAGGACGCCTGGGTTTTCTCCTGGCTCTGGGAGGACAGCCGGGATCCCCAGGTCTCATGCTAACCCCCTCCCCTGTCTTTCTGCCCGTGGCCCCAGGAAGCCCTGATCAAGCTGGGCCCCCTGCCTCGGCTGCTCAACGACATCAGCGTCGCCCTCAGGAACCCGCACATTCAGCGGCAGCCAAGTCACCAGGGGGAGCGGCTGCAAACCAAGCCCATCATCCTGCGGGGGCCGTCCTCTGACATGCAGCCCTACATGATGCGTGACCTCAACAGGTGAGTGGAGTCTGCGACTGGGGGCTGGAGGGCAGTGGGAGAGAGCAGGGCACTGGATAGGGCTGCAAACCCAATTCACTGTGGGGGCGGCCAGGGGTCATCTCCCTCTGCCCCTTTCCCATGTAGGGTCCTGTCCAGCTCTCCCCCCAACACTAACTGCTGCCTCTGCTCCCCCTGCAGCTCCGTCGATCTGCAGCCCTACATGGTGCGGGGCCTCAACAGGTGAGTCCTGGCGCGGTCCCCACACTGGCCCCATGCTATCCGGTACACCCCCCTGCCGCTCCACCCACCCTTCCTGATGGGGAGCAACGCCATCATTCCCCTTCCTTGCCCTGCACCGGTCCCAGGGGGACACAGGGAGTGAGCGCTGCCCTGTTCCAAGTAGCTCTGCGTGAGGCCTGGGCAGCACCAGGCTGGGCCCATTCCCTCCTCTGGGGGCTCCTGTGGAGTCTGTGTGCAGGAGGCTCATTTTTGGGGAGCTGAGGGGGACTAGGAACACCCCTTCTAGCCCTGGGAAGGGATGGTCACACATCATGGTCTGCTCAGAGACTCCCCCGTCCCTTATCCCCCGGGGACCCTGGGCTGGGGCTGTTCGTTCCCCCTGTCAAGGCTGTATCCCCACTTTGAACTTTAGGGTACAAATGTAGGGGCCTGCATGAAAACTTCTAAGCTTATCTACCAGCTTAGCTTTGGTCCGCTGCCACCATTACAAGAATTCCCTCCCTGGGAAGCCTTGAGAAACCTTTCACCAATTCCCTGGTGAACACAGATCCAAACCCCCTTGGATCTTAAAACAAGGAGAAATTAACCATCCCCCCTCCTTCCTCCCACCCTCCTTTCACCAACTCCTGGTGAATACAGATCCAAACCCCCTTGGATCCTAAAACAAGGAGAAATCAATCTGGTTCTAAAAAAAGAAGGCTTTTAATTAAAGAAAAAGGTAAAAATCATCTCTGTAAAATCAGTATGGAAAATACTTTACAGGGTAATCAAACTTAAAGAGCTCAGAGGACCCCCCTCTGTCTTAGGTTCAAAGTACAGCAAAACAAAGATAAACACTCTGGTAAAAAGGTACATTTACAAGTTGAGAAAACAAAGTAAGTCTAAGACGCCTTGCCTGTCTTTTTACTTACAAGTTTGAAATAGGAGAGACTTGTTTAGAAAGATGGGGAGAACCTGGATTGATGTCTGGTCCCTCTCAGTCCCAAGAGCGAACCACCCCTTAAAACAAAGAGCACACACAAAAGCCTTTCCCCCCCCAAGATTTGAAAGTATCTTGCCCCTTTATTGGTCCTTCGGGTCAGGTGTCAGCCAGGTTACCCGAGCCTCTTAACCCTTTACAGGTAAAAGGATTTGGAGTCTCTGTACACAGAGAGCTGTTACCCTTCCCTTTATAGTTATGACACCCCCCCTCCCCCCGGGCCTGCTCCCTGGCTCCCCCATCCTCTGGGGACCCTGGGCTGGGGCTGTTCTTCCCCCCATCTGTCCCCCTCCCGGGCTGCTCCCCAACTCCCCCATCCCCCAGGGGCCATGAGCTGGGGCTGTTCTTCCCCCTGTCTGTCCCCCCAGGGCTGCTGACCGACTCCCACCTCCCATATACCCCAGGAGCCCTGGGCTGGGGCCACTCACTGCTCCCTTCTCCCCATCCCCGCTGGAGCACTGGCCCCAGCGCTGACCACCTGGCCTTTCTGCCCCCCCAGCTCCATGGACATGACCCGGTTGCCTTCGCCCACCAAGGAGAAGGGCTCCAAGGACATGTTCTTTGTGACACGCCCGCCCCTGGCCCGCTCCTCGCCCGCCTACTGCACCAGCAGCTCCGACATCACTGAACCCGACCAGAAGATGCTGAGCGTCAACAAGAGCGTCTCGATGCTGGACCTGCAGGACAGCCGCATGAACAGCGTCTCCAACCTGCAGAGTGTGGGCGACATGCTCAACAGCAGCCAGGCCTCCATCACCGCGGCCATGGGATTGCGGCCCAGCCGCCTCTCGCAGGGCAGTGGCTCCAGCATTGCGGCTGGCCTGCGGCTCAGCCACATGGGAGTCACCACTGATGGAGCTGCAGCCCAGCAGCTTAGGGTGCCTCTCTCCTTCCAGAACCCCCTCTTCCACATGGCCTCAGACGGGCCCTCAGCCGCACCCTCGCACCGGCCGTCTGAGGGCAACCCCGACACCTTTGCCCCCTTCCATGGCTACAGCAAAAGCGAGGATCTGTCCGCCAGTAAGCACATCATCCACAGCCACAGCTACAGTGACGAGTTCACCCGCCAGGGCTCCGAGTTCACCAAGCGCCAGCTCTCGCTGCAGGAGAACCTGCAGAACATGCTCTCCCCCCCACAGATCACCATCGGGCCCCAGCCCCAGCGAGCCCCACCCCAGCCGCAGCCCCAGGTCCCGCTTCAGCGCGGAAAGTCCCAGCAGCTGACGGTCAGCGCTGCCCAGAAACCCCGGCCCTCCAGCGGCAACCTGCTGCAGTCACCCGAGCCCACCTACGGGCCAGCCCGCGCCCGCCAGCAGTCGGTCACCAAGGAGACGCCCTCTGCACTCAAGCCAACCATTACCAAGCAGGTGTGGGGAGGGCAGGAAGGGAGGCAAGGTGTGTGGGCGGTGGGGAGGGGAGTGGAGGGGTGTCAGCGAGTGGGGAGATGGGGCAGGGTGGACAGGTGGGGAGTGGTACAAGGGGGACAGTGAGAAGGCTCAGGGGTTGGTCCTCAGGAGCGGAGCATCAGTACTGCTCAGGGTGGGTGGCTGACCTTCGGGCGGGGGTGGTGTTCTGTCTTCCAGGAGTCCCCACAGGGTGGTGAGGGGAGTCTCTGGGGCACGGAGGGGGTCTCATTCCATGCTCACTAACTCTCTCCCCCCACAGCCATCGCACACGCCTTCCACGCTGAACCCGGTCATGCCGGCCTCTGAGCGCACCGTGGCCTGGGTTTCCAACATGCCACACCTGTCAGCCGACATCGAGAGCTCCCACATCGAGCGCGAGGAGTACAAGCTGAAGGAGTACTCCAAATCCATGGATGAGAGCCGGCTGGACCGGGTAAGGGAACCCAGGAGGCCTGACTCCCAGCCACCACCCCTGCTTTAACCCACTAGACCCCATCCCCTCCTCATGCCAAAGATAGAAGCAGGAGTCCTGGTCCCCAGCCCTTCACAGTGGGGAGGCACGGAGCCCCTGCCTCAAGGCAGAAGTGCCCTCATGGCCATCGCATTGCCTCTCCCTCCAGGTGAAGGAATATGAGGAGGAGATCCACTCACTGAAGGAGCGGCTGCACATGTCGAACCGCAAACTGGAGGAGTACGAGCGGCGCCTGATGTCACAAGAGGAGCAGACCAGCAAGATCCTGATGCAGTACCAGCAACGGCTGGAGCAGAGCGAGAAGCGGCTGCGCCAGCAGCAGGTGGAGAAGGACTCGCAGATCAAGAGCATCATTGGCAGGTGAGGGGCGGATCGGAGCGGTGGGGCCTTATGGTAGGGTCACTGGGTCCTGGGCATGTGCGGGGAAGTGGGGGGCCACGGGGTCCCTGGCACATGTTGGGGAAGATGGGAGGTCACAGGGTCCCTGGCACACATGGGGGGCGGCTCATGGCAGAGGCATAGGGTCCCTGGCATGTGTGGGGAGATGGGGGTCACAGGGTCCCTGATACATGGTGATGAGGGGGTCATGAGGTCCCCAGCATATGCAGAGGCTGGTGGGGGGGTCACAGGACCCTAGGAGGATCCCCTCAGAGATCCTGAACTCAGGGCAGGGAGGGAACAGTCCCTCTAGGAGCTGCATCCCATCCCATCCCCCAGGTACCTGCCGTGGCCTCCGCCCCCCCAGGGACCTGCTCCATCTGCCCCCTGCCCCACTGGGCGTTAGCTGTCAGGGACCCTTGGCCTCCCCCCGCGGGAGCCCGGATTGACTCCAGTGAAGCCTGTCCCTGCAGGTTGATGCTGGTGGAGGAGGAGCTGCGCAGGGATCACTCGGCCGCCCACGACGTCTCCGAACCCCGGAAACGCCTGCTCGACGCTCAGGTGGAAATTACAATGTCATTTTTCTTTTCCGTGTCTCCATTTCCCATCCCATCTCGTCTGCTGTCTGTCCCACGGGCAGGGCTAGTGCTGGGGGAAACCGATGGATGGACCCGGAGCAAGGCTAGTCCTGGAGAGACAGCCCGATGGATGGACCCAGAGCAGGGCT